GCGCCGGGGACCCCCGCCCGCGCCGAAGGTGACCGCGGCCCGGCCTGTCGGAGCAGCCGCTGGGCGCATGGATTCCTTTCTTGGCTGGTGCCAGCCTTGTAGGTACCCAGACTGGGCGGACTGATGAGCACGTGACCCTCCGACACACAACACACACAGGCACACACGCGTAGCCCTGCAAAACCGAAATCCACGTGTACACATGGATGGAACCAGAGAAGTCCGGGAATGCACATATCCCGTGGTCCCGTTTCAGAGGGAAAGTAAAGCCCCGCTGGGTCACCGGGCGGGAGAGCCGCTCCCCGGGCTGGTGCGTGGTGGGGCAGTGCAGGCTGCCGGGTTCGTCCTCACTGCGATGCCCTGAAAGTGAACCTGGGCATCACCGATACTTGCAGAGCCTCGTGGAGTGACAGGTGCTGACGGCTGGAACTCCCCCTTGCCTGGATGGCCTTCCCGTGAGACAAGTTCAGACCATTCTAGGGAGGGCCGCAGACTAGAAAGAGTGAAGTCTGCCTGCACTTTGCGCAGGGATCCTGCCTTCCTAAGGACTACTCAAGTAGTCCTGGCCCTTGGTCCCAGGGTAGCTCCTGATAAAGGGAGGCGGAAGTCCAGGGAGTGGGGTCCCCGGGAGAAGCCTGTGTGGCAACAGACCTCGGAGGAGGCCTTAAACCGGGCCGAACCCCGCTGCCCTTTGAGTTCAGAGGCTCGGTGATCGAGATCCAAGCAGAGACATCTCCCCAAGTGCGCGGCGGACTCATAAGGAGTCCTGGGACGTCCCCTCTCCGGGACCCCACTTACCCATTTCTTCCGGACCCCCCCCACAAGTTTTTAGATGGAAAGCCACAGCTTCCTAAAGCTTAGAAACGGTAGAAATCTGTCCCCGCCCCCGCATAGGTTTCCTGAAAAACTTTCAGAAAACAACTCTTAAATTGTTTAGTTTAATTTATTAGTACATGTCTGCAGTCCATGCACTTTGCGATCATCTTAGGGAGTTCGTAAGTGTACATAATGCAGCTTTTAAAAATCCCCTTCTCTCCCCCTCCTTCCCTCACTCTTCTAATTTCCCTTTCCCCCTTTTCATTCTTGTTGATTTTGTTCATCTTAGCTCATCTTTATGGCGCAGAATGCCCACGTTCCTGAAGTTAGGAGGACCTTGTACCTGGCGCATCTTCACTCTGCAGATTCTCCCTCCCCCGCCTGTCCCTCCCCCCCAATCCCTGGTCCCCTGGACCCCTAGACCCCTTCACATCGTGAGAGACCCATCTCCTTGTCTCCTTCTGTCCTTCCTTTATTTTTCTCTTAATTTGTACTTTGCCTTACTCAGAGGAGAGATAACATAACGGGATTTAAGTTCGTGTATCTGATTTATTGCCCTCAACATGGTATTTTCTAGGCGCATCCATTTTCCCACAAATGCCTCAGACATGTCCTTCTTTATAGCCACCACACTTTGTTTATCCAGTCATCTGCTGGTGGGTACACAGGCTGTTCTCAGGATTTAGCTATTACGAATCGTGCTGCTATAAACACATGTATGGATGTATGTATCGCTGTAGCATGATGTCTTAAACTCTGAGGGCAAAATTAGAAATTCCAGGTAACCCAACTCTTAAAATTTTAAACAGCATAAAAGGAATGTGGAGCGTCAAGCTGTGACTTTAGGCAGTTGCTCCATTGTAGCCAAAAGTTGGCTGGGGCTGCTTACAGGTGCAAAGGACTCCTGCAGGTGCCCCTGTCCAGCTGGCTCCTGCCCTCCCTAAATCTGCCCACCTGTGGTCTGTGGGAAGCGTTGCTCCTGCTGCGTGTTTGGTAACTCACTCCTCCCCAGAGATGCTCTGCTGTTATTCTCATTCTTATTCTTATTTGGGTACATTTGTCCCCCAAGTATCCAGCTGTTAAAGCTGGCCCTGGAGTAGGTGCTGTCTGTAGGAGGGGCCTTGAGGAAGCCCCTCAGAGGCCATGGGGGTGCCCCTGAAGGGTGCTGTGGGACCCCAGCCGCCTCCCCCTGCCAGAGTAAGCAGCCAATATCGTGATAGTGATGGAAAGCTGACACTACACACAGGTGCTCTCCCTTGGATACCACTGCTGGGAAGAGGAGTTCTGCCTGCCTCTGCCTCTTTGCACAGCTGTTTCTGGACACCCCATGCTGGTCCCCAGGGGGAGGGAAGGTCGGCTCTGCACCTCTCATCACAGCAGACTCATAGCAATAGTTTGTCTGTGGCTCCAGGGCGTGAAGTTGGGGTGGGTGCAGATTCACGGCACTGTGCCCCAGAATACATAAAAATTATTTCATTTCATTTCATTTGGGAGCAGAGGAGGAGCACGGGATGAAGCTATGGACGGTGCCGTGGATGTGAGTAGGGCCAGCCTCTAGAGCCATCCCACCTCTGCCTCTTCCTTCCTGTGCCTCTGGCTCCCACCCCAGGCCTTGTCCTTTGGCCTTGGCTGTGAGGTGCAGTATTGTTAAGCAAAGGTGTCTGCTGACTTGCTAGGCCTTTTCTTGAAGCTGTTTCCCAGCTTCTCCTAAGCTTCCTGCCGGTCATCTGTAGAAATGGGGTAAGAGGTGTCATGGGGTCTCTGGGAAGATTGAAGAAGTGCAAGTGCAAGGCTCTTACATCTGCAGAGAGGGAGGGGGAGGGAGGGAGAGGGAAAGAGAGAGAGGGAGAGGGAGGGGAGGGGGATACGGAGGAGGAGGGGGAGGGGGGAAGAGGGAGGAAGGAAAGAAGAAAGAATGGCAGAGTGGGGAAGGCAAGGGAAGATGGAAGGCCGGAGAGAGCGGGAAGAAAGGAAGCAAGTCCTTGTATCTTGACATCTAAGCAGGCTAGTTGTCCAGGGATTCAGCACAGGGAAGCTGTCCCTCATCTGGATTGACAGGGTGAGCCGCAGCCTTCTTAGATGGTGCTTTGGTGGCTCACTAAAAGAAAAATAATCATCCGTTGGTGCTTAGCAGCTTGATCTCTGATTCTCCTCTGCACCCTCACTGCCCATGTGTGCTCCAGGGCTGTCACCTGCCTTCAAGGCTGTCATCTGCCTGGGCAGCCTCTCCCTAACCCTGGGCTTCCCACGTCCCATCCCGCTAACCTCACTTGTTCTGAATCCTATCTAAAGATTCAGAAGGATAGGCATCAAACAGAAGTAAAGCTCAGGGATCAAGACATTAGTTTCAAGCAGTAGAAGAGAATAGTATCTATGCTCTGTCTCCCAAGGAAAGACTTTTCATCTAAGTCCTGTTCACAGAGGAACTGCATCTCTGGGAGGAGTTTGGGAACGACAACAGGTATACGAGAAACAAACTCAGGGTGAGGTGGAGGACAGAGTGGCTCTCAGACCTCACTCCTTGGCTGGGAGTTCAGAGGGCAGAGACTGGTGTTTGCAGGTTGCCAGTCATGCCGATGGGCTCCAGAAGGAGCTGCGAGCTTATGAGCAGCTCTGTGCCTGGGAGTAGGTCTGAAACTACAGCTTCTTTATGAAGCCATCCGCAGCCCACGGCAGGCTTCCTCCTAAGTGTCCCGGAATGCTGCTGGGGGTGGAGCTCAGGGCAATGCCAGGCTTCCCCGGTCTGGCTGGAGCTGAGGGGTTTCTTCTGAGCACTTGAGTGTGGCGGAGCCCGAGCTCACCTCTGGGAGCCTGGGAGCAGGGCGCCAAGCTGGGCACACTTCACCTGGATTCATCTGGGTTCTATTCTGCTTCTTTGCAAACAGTGTTTCCAAGCAGAGCTGCTGCAGTGGTGTGTTTGAAAGGTGCAAGGGATGTTTTGATCATTACCATCGATTTCCAAATGCTTTTGTTATTTTAGAGAAGATGCCCTCGTGAAGCGTGGCAGCACAGATGGGGCAGATGGCCTAAATTTACCCAACCCTTGCTCTCCTCTGAGGCTGTGAATCTGAAGCCAGACAGGGTGTAAAAGAATCCAGTGACTACTAGGAAGTTGTTGCCCCCCAGGTGCCAGTGGCACCCGGAGCCTGGACCCAGGCTGAAGCCTGGACAGGCCCTTCCTGCAGAGCAGCATGACGGCGGCCTTGAGTCCAGCACGTGCTCCAGCCCCGGCCCCCTGCTCCATTGTGCCCTTCCTGTGCATCTTCCAAGCCCAATTCTCTGGCCTCACCCGTCCCAGCAAGCTCCTCTCCTGCCCAGGCAGACAGGGCCAGGGTCTGGTGTTGGCCACAGCGTCCTGACTGGC